TGGGGAATTCTGGGAGTTGAAGTCCATACATCTTAAAGTTGCCAAGTTTGAAAAACACTGGCCTACGTCCATAGAGTAGAGTTCCCATCGTTCTTGAGGAGTCTGTTACCTTACTGGCCTGCCTTGAAGGGCTGATAAGCTGAATGGTGTTGTGTCATTTATTGGAGGCAATAACTTTGCACCCACAGGAAAAGCATTTACCAATCAGGGCCAGTGATGGACTTCTACTTGTCTTCTCTAAGCTGGCTTGTCTGCTCTTCTCCACACCCCAATTTGGCATCTCCCAAGTCAAAAGGAAATGAAGAAACCTGGTGGATACCAGGGCAGAAATAGCACCACAGAGGTTTGCATCACATTCTGAGCAAACACAGACAAGGTGATGTAATCTGCAGCACTATTCTGGATCCTTAAGTAATTTCCCACACACACACACACACACACACACACGCACATATATTATTGTATATTTCAAAACAAGTCACATAACCTGAAATCAGTAGAGGATCAGCAAATGTCTCTCCTGTTGTTTCACATAAACCAATGGGATCCAACTTTAATCTTATGCATCTTTTGCTGACTTATGGCCTCTTCACAAAGTAAGTTTACAGCAGCCTGGATACCATAGCAGATTTCAGAAACAAAAGAATAATGAAACAACAGGGAAACTTCCCTGGATTCATTCTTTTTCTACATGTTTTCTACACATATTTTTATAACAGATACATTAAACTCTAGTATATAATCCACCAGAGTTTCAAACTTGATTGCCTAGACTCATAGTATACTGATAGCATAGAAGCATATTACAGGTTGTAAAAAAAGGATTGGGTAATAAAAGCACAATTCTTGGTATAAGAATTGCTTACAAAGGGCTTGAACTTGCATAAATATTATTTTAGCCAAATCAGAAAAAGACAATAAAGAAAAACTACAAAGATGAAGACTGTTTAAGGCATGATTAAACATAAATCACTTCCTCGTGTACATCATAGTACAATTCACCTCACTTAAGTCCAAGAGTTTGAGAAAATAGTTCAGTCAGTTTCTTTAGCCTCTGGTAGGAAACCTTGCTGGGATGGTGGCTTTATCTGGCACTTAGATAACATAGTATGGATATGCTCAGTAAATGGTGTGTGTGTGTGTCTGTCAGTCTGTCTGTCTCCCTGCCTTTCCAGTATGGTGAACAAAGTAGCTATCAAACTGTAAAAAGAGGGGCTTTCACATACATAAAGAGACTACAGTGCTGCTACACATGGCCAGTCACGTATCATTCCCCCATCATTCCTATTAGCTTGACAGCTGCCTGCTTGCCTTCCTTCCTTTCTTCCTTCCTCTTTTTTTTTAGGCAAGTAGGCAGGCAGGTACATTTCTAAATACAGGCATGGGCTACAGTTGCTCACCATGTTTATTTTTTAAGGCTTGTGCTTGGACCTTGGGAAGCTAACAAGAACTGCCTGGCACTTTGTTTTGCACCATGCCAGGGTCCAATTACTTGAGTGATTAAAAAAAGAAATCCATGGCATAGGGAACAGGGAACCTGGCTGATTTCACAGTGAGTGCCTTGCATCTCTTTTTCAGACACAGGCATCCACACTATAATACAAAATAACTACCAAGTCTCCTTCAGGTTCAGCTCAGCTTCTAACAACTCAAATGGACACATCCATGCTGTTTTGTTTGTTTTTGCTGGTATAAAAGTGATTTGCCATTACTTGCTTTCAATATTTTGATTTCCCAGATGGTATCCCACCCAAGTAATTAGGGTGCGACACCATCTGACCCTGTTGAGCTCTCTAGTTGGGCACCATATTACAAAGTATGCTGAAAATTCCCTTCCGTTTGATAAGGGGTTTGCTGTTAGTTTGGGAAGAAGCTGATGCTTGGATTCTCCCAAAGAGCAGTTGTACCACATCTGAAGGACCTCTGAGAAAAGGCACATTTTAAGAAAGTCTGGTGAGGGTATGGTCACCTTTCTGAGTTTCAAAATCTACATTTTGTCTTCCATGTATTTCTAGTCAACCCAATTCTTCTATATGTTGGTTGGTTTTGCAAGAACCACTAAAACAAAAACTAGGTAACCATACTGTAATATAATTTTTTGCAAATCCAGTACACCTGTTTAATTTGTGGTTCAGTGTGAACCTAGAAAATTAGGTTGAGTCAGTCATTGTTTACTTAACCATGGTTTAGCATGTCATGCGAACATAATTATCATATTACTGCAGCATTAGCCAAGTAGGTCCCAGTCCTACAAGACATGGAAAGAGCTGAAGATGCCATATCCAGACCTTGGCTAATATATCCTTTTTAGCCAACGTTCACTGATGTGTGGTAGAATTATAAATCAAAGAAATCCTTGGAGCAAAAAAGTCATGATATTGTTTTTAGAATATTTTATATTACATTTTATTTGCATGAAAATAAATTATACAACTTAAAAAATAAAATCCAAAAATTAAGCAGTACATCAAAATAGTTCAGCCAGACTGCCATACAAGAAGAAACTGCTACCAGTCAAAATTGTACAGCATTATCTCATATGTAGTGGCATACATTCAAACTGTAAATTACCATATGTAGATAGATATTACAACCTCGGAAACTCAAGTTTGCGCTGCACTCCAGGCTACATATAGTCTATTAACAGAAATGCTCTTGAGTACTGTTTTATTTCACACATAGAACCTTGAATTTACAAACACAGCATTCCAGCTAGTTCCATGAAAATAATTTTGCACTCAAGATACCAAAATTTGTCCAGGAACCTATCAAAATTTCTCCCCTCTGTATTTTAAAATTTGTACCTTTCACAACAGATACTATAATGGAAATAAAATCCAAAGTGTTTGTTTACTCAGGTCATGTTACTTTTTTAAAAAATGGGGAGGGGGGAGAGAACCACAACTAAAACTTAAATTTAACTACACTATGTTCCAAGAAAAACAATAAATGAATAGGTAGTACACAAAGACATCAGGGGGATTAAGAAAAAAATGGAAGACTTCAAAATAGAGCATGAACCTCATTAGTTGTGACAAAGCATTTTATAAGTATGGTTAAAATCAATGCAACCCACATTATTTTTCATAGAATATTTTTCACATTTAGAATATTACTTAATGCAAACCACAGTGGCAATACTCGTGGCAACATTTTTTTCCAAGCAGCAGCACCTCTTTATTCTAGGTCTTTGGAGGGGGAAAAAAAAATCCAAAGCTAAAAAATCACCTTGAAAAGTGCCATATTGCAATGACTGATTATTCCATTTACTTTTATATGTGAACTTTTTCATATTTCTGCATATATTTTTAAGCCAGTAGAGTCTACCTTCTCGAATACATTAGCCTTAAGGGCATCTTGGTAGAAATGCCCAAACAAAAATGCTAAATGTGATGCCGCAGCTGTAAGAAAATTGCTGGTGTGAGTTTTGAATGTTTTACATGGCATGTATTCCAATGTGCATAAGTACTGAACTATGTTTATAGCGTACTGTTCATTCTATTTTCTGGGCCCTAAACCCACTTAAATTATGAATGAAATAGGTATAAAAGGTGAGACACAATTAGTACTCAATATTTTTAATGTAAATAAGGACAGACTTCCACTAGCAATGTCCAACGAGTCACATGAGTGCTCCTAAAATGCTTCCATATATGCCTGGGTGTCTAGCAATTTTCCGTTCAAAAAATAATCCCTTACACCACGCCAGTTCTCTCTGCTCCCAAGGGGCAGAAGGAAGTGCAGAGAGAGGTAATGCTGAAGAGCCATCTTAGTAAGCCAAAAGGAAGTCGTTTAGAGGTCAGACACAAAATTTAACTTTTAAAAGACTTGCCTTGCTAAGAAATGAAAAAGGAATCATTCTGAAAGTCAGACTGCTAGCATTTGGACATTACTAAATATGAGGTTAGGGCTGGTTTGATATTCAATGCCTCATGGCTACTCCCTTCACAGAAGTAACAGGAAGCATGTAAGTCAAAAAGACTCTATCAAAGAATTTTAGAAATATGTACATACTTTCTAAAAAAAAAATCTTTTGTCTTTTTCTACCCATTTCTAACTTTACTTCCGAATCAAATGCAAAGTTCTAGAAATCCTGTAGCATGTACAAAAGACTTCTGGTAAATCAATTTTAGTTTTCTTTCCTTTAACATATACTGAATGTTGGATAATATGTACAACTTTTTCTGACTCTTATTCACATTTTGAGATTGAAATTTAACAATCCTATGTTGAGTTTGCAGTGAACACTTTAAAAAATATTAATCTCTGTTCTACAAGTAATAAAAAATGCACATAAATACAGAAGATGAGACTTCAGGTCAGCACCCTGTTTTCATTCACTTGTTTTCTTATCCATGAATGTTGGCAGTTCTCCACTGCGTCAGAGCAGGGTTGTCTCAACCTAGCCCTAGAACATTCTTTGCAGTTGGTAGTTATACTCTGCGTGTGTGCATCAGTACAAGGTTTTGAGGCAGAATTCAAAGGTTAGTTTCTGCTGAAAATGAATTTTGGGGAGGGGATGAATTTTCCTTCCCCTGTGGTCATATCATGCACTCTTAAAATTTACTCAGGAAGATTGTACACAATGGGAGTACAGAGGACAAATCAGAAGATGATAATCTTACACCGTGAGCTGACTTCTATTTCCACTGGATTATACTCCTGGCACTGTCTGATATGTAAAATGTAGCCCCCTCCTAAATTCATTTGGCCCACAATTACAGTGTGTCTTGATCTTGCTTTTCTACCAGTCAGCAGCCATAGTCCAATGCTATTGCAGGTAACAACTGAAGGACAAGGGAACTCATATGCATTGCTAAACTTTCCATGGTAGTTTTGCAGAGGTGCTAGCAATATGGCACAATAGGAAATCACTTTAGAGAAGTTGAAAGGTTGGAGTCCTTTATTAGCATTTTAATCTGAAATTCTGTAATTTATTTGCCCTCCCCTCAATATAGCAAACTTTATTTCACAGCCTTAGTATGTGTTTCTTCACTTCAAATCTGAGGCAGATTTTTTTTAAAGGAAAAGAGAAAGGGGCCTTCAAGTAGGGGTGAGTTCTATACATTCCACTAAACTTATGGGGCTATGGTGCAACTGTTTTCAGTAGACTAAGTTGACAGCCTACGCTATTAATCAATCTCATCTGGTCTAATTGGACAAAAATTGCCTTCTTCCACGCTGTCTTGTTTTTTTCCAGAGTATAATTACATTTAAAAACATAACATTAGATATTTTCAAATAAATAATGAAAGGTATATATAAGGATTGTCAAAATGTTAATTTCTATTTTGAGGGAATTGTGTACTGGTTATGTTTAATGCATTTACATTTCTGCAAGCATACTAAAATAGTGAATGCTGGTATTAAATGTATAAACAAATACATTTAATATTTAATTTTGTTTCGCTACAAACAGATCCTTCCATGAAAACCACTGCTTAAAAGTGAACCTGTTTTTTAAAAAAGGGGGAGATTGAAGCAAACTATGTGACATATTTAATATATCTGTTAGAATCACTAGTGTCCCAGTATTTGAATCCAATTTTCATACTGAAGCACCTGTTTAAGCTAACAGATAAATATGTATCTACAGATGTGATGCATTTGTGTTTTGTTCAAATATTACACATGGGAAAGAGATCAAAAAGAGGACAGTATATTTAGGCAGTTGTTCCAAAACAGAAAGGGTGAAGTGCTATATCTAATCTATTTGCTTCTCTCTTTTTTTATCTGAAAATGAAAACTAGCAAGTTTTTCAGTGCATGAATATCTGAAAAAAAAAAATTGTGCAAGTTCTCTTAATATAAAAATCCCAGATCTGTTCTCTTCCAGGTGCAAATCAAATCCTAAAATTCTCACAATGGGCTCTCCATGAATGCAGTTTCCCCACAAAAACAGCATGCTGTTAAAAATGTGCACAAGATGAAGGGAACACCATCATGCTAACTGAAAAAAAAAAAAAGAGATTGACAAAACAAAGTCCTCTGGTAAGGTAAGGCAGGAATCTGAGTAAGTAATGCAGGTCAAACAAGTCCTTTTACAGCACAGTCTTCTTGTAGTTTTTCTGCCCAAACCACTTCCAATGCACATTTCTCGGCATTTTCCAGTAAATCCTTAGGCTATGCCATGTATATAAATGTATTGATATCAGATTCATCTCTTCTGATATATTTGTGTTCTATAAGCCATTCAATTTGCTCTTTTATCATTTTCTTCTGTGGCAAGAACATATTTTTTAATATCTCTACTAATTCAGTCTGAAGCTGAGCATTAGTAATTTTCTTCCGCATTTTCATTATTTGGATGATAGCCTCCTAAAGCAAGGGGGGAAAAAAGGAAGGAAAATGCACTTTGGATATAGTTGTCCAAGACAAGCAAAGTGGATCTAGCGAGCAAGTTAAAAAAGATACCATATACGCAATTGCACAAGCATCTACTTAGTTTAAACTAGAAGAGTTTGTTTTTGTAACTGGGAAGGTCCAACCAGCTTAGATAAAGGGACCCCCTATATATACACTTACCAGCATGGTTACATATGGGTTGTTTTTAGCAATACGGTTATCAGTCTGGGGGGAAAAAGCTGTAATCATACAGCTAAATGGACGTAGCGTAAACCTAACATGCATCCTTATGTCATACAAGACTACTTCTCTTATAACACTGGACTCTCATGAGGGAATGTAAAGGACATTTTTCGTTTGGTCTTACTAGCTAATCCAGTGCAGAAAGTAAGGAAGGTGACCTAGTTAAAGATATAGGCAGACTCTTTGGCCTAGGCAATGCAGCCTGCATATCTCCGTTAAGGCCATCTTCCCTGTCCTCTACACCTACATCCTTCTCCAATCTGGCACTCACTAAGCTAGGCTGTCTGGGAATTCTGGGAGCTGCAATCTCAACACACCTAGAAGGTGCCAACCTGAGGAAGGCTTAGCTAACCCCTGTAAGTATGGACAGCATTACATATGATCCAGCGTATGGACAAAACAGGATAGAAGGATTACAGAAAGGAAGCAAAGCACTCAGAGTTGTCAGTTGGACAGCCAAAGGCAAATGTTTCCTAAGTTACAGTTTGCAACATACAAAGTGATCTAGAATATCAATATGGCACCACAGAGCTAAATGCTACCAGTTACACACTGGTGACTGTCCGCTTGATGGCCAATATCACTCCTCTCCTAGACACGCATACACAGCCAGGGAACTTATATTTCAAGTCTTCTTTTATATTTACACATTTACATTTCTTTATATTTTAGACTCCCCCCCCCCCATACCTGCCAATATTCTGAATCATGATTAATGCTCTGTATTTTGGCTTAGTGATTGGGAAGATAGGTAGGCTGTCCTCAGAACACTGAAAAGCCTTCCCCATCTGCTCCAGGGATTGGATACTTGCTTTCCAACATATTCCATGGGCTAAAAGAGTAAGATGCTTGCTTTCTATTATTATTAAAATGAAAGCAGAGGTTCTGCACTCGACACTGTGGCGTATTCTTCCATGAAGCTGATTCCCAGACACAGCTCTAGTCACCGTGTGCCAAGTTTTGCCCCCTCTTTCTTTCCTGCATTGTATGTACCGAAATCTGCTCACTCTCTCTTCTTGAGGTTGCCTCTTCTCAACCTGTGTTTTGTAACTTAGCAGAAAAACTAAGTTTCACCTGCCTGCTTTGTGGAGCCCTTCTGATCACAAAGTCAGATAGTTATATATGAATCTCCACATCCTATAGTGTCAGTTCTACTCTTCTTCTACTTAGATACACTGTGAAGGAAGGGGGGGGGGGAGTTGTCAAGCATCGAGATATCAATTTTTCAACAGCATATTCGTGTATCACATCTCTTAAGTTCCAGCATTACACTAGGCAGCAGCTTACAATCAGTTAACATACCTGGGTTCGTAATATTCTTAACTGGACTATCCCTTCATTCTCTTCTTCTCGCATTCTCTCTGTGGTTAACTGCAGTCTACCAATAAGGTTTATCTTACCTCTTTTTTGAACTTTAGCATTTTTTCTGAAAGGACAGACAGGAAATGAAAAAAAAAAAACCAAGACTAAACGTATGCTGGTTGGTCTTAATGGGCAGAAGCTCTCTAAGATTTCAGAGGCATAGCTATTTGAACTACAGACATTGGGAACCAAATACAAACACCGAGAATTACATCTATACCCAGTTTCCAATGGTTTTAGGATAATGATCCTGATATTTTTTATTTCCCTGAACATTTAATGGCTTTTGGATGATTTGTTAATATTTTGCTTATGATGTTTTATATTTAGATGTGCTGTTATGGCTGAAAGCACTTTGAAGGCCAAAAGAAAAATTTTATGTACTAACAAAACAATGTGCTCTAACCTTATAACCAATATTACAAATGCTTACTATTCAAAGTGCTTTACTTATATTATTCTGTGATCTTCATAAGTGACAGTATAATTCAATTGCAAATATTACATATTGCCTAGAAAACTTTTGTTATCACACTTTCTCAATAAAATAAATGAAAGAAGAGAACTGAAGCTGAAAAACAATTCATTAAAAAAAAACTTTAAGCAGAGAACTTCTGGATTTACTATTTAGTACTTTAATTATATTATCCCATGTCATATGGCCTGTCTTCAGTGAGAACTCTTAGCAGGCACAAGGCCATTGCTATGAGACAATATAAGTAACGATTTATGAGCATGCTTCAAACAAAATGGCTTTGGTTGCACAAGTGACTGTATTGTCCTTAGTGTTAGCAGAGAATGTGACAAGTGCACGGAACAACTGAGCCTGTTTACCTGATCTACCTCTTCTCTGCACAGTCTGTATTATGAAAAAGCATTTTATGAAATCCTCAATTGATTACAGCTAAGATGGATAGCAGAGGTTATTATTTATGGTGATGACAACCATGGCATATAGAACATTGTAATTTGGAATGTAAGAGGATTCAGATGATAAAGAGCATAAATCAAGGAATGAAATGAAAGAAAGAAAGAAAAAAAATAGGCAAGTTATGTGTCAGTTAAAGTAAGACAAAAGGGAAGAGTGAGTTGATGAATAAAAGCAGAGAAGTGAAGGTATAGATTTAATTGTGAATGTAAGAACTAAAATGTTAAATCAGAAAGTATGAATTGGTATTGTGTAGGTTTTTGTAGGTGCATATGACAGTAAGAATCCATAGGTTATATATTACTCTATAGTGAATGGTGATAGTAATAGAATTAGAAATGAGTTTTGAGAAAAATTGTGCAACATATTGAAACCACATAACGTAGAGGAAGAATCCCATTCTGTGACAGGAATGGAGGGATGCATGAAAATGAGACAAAAGTATCCAGAAAAAAATTACTGGGCCATCCAAAACCCAAGAATGTATGAAAATAATGACTTCCCTAAATGTAGGAAGGAGCATTTGTTGGTGGAGACAAGAGCAGGTCTTGGAAAAATAGACATGGAAGAAAAGGAAAGTAGTGAAAGAAAGCAGAGTGAAAGTGTTACAACTGAGTGCAGATCATGAAAAAGCATGACAAGACAGAGTAATCCCCCCAACAGAATGAATGGAAAATAGATTAAGAAAATAGGAACAATTATACTACAGAGTGCTACAGGATTGTGTGGAGTTCCACTAATGGAAAGTATGAAAGGGGATACTTGGTGGAATGATGAAATGAAAGAGGCTGTGGATGAAAAAAAATACTGAAAGTAAATGATTGCTGCAAAGAATGTGGATGAAAGAAAGATACTGTATAACATGTATAAAGAAAAAAAGATAATAGCAAAGAATGCAGTCAAAGAGAGCAAGGAACAATTAAGTTTAAAAGAGGCAGAGAAAATGCAAAGCAATGTCAATGGAAATAAAAATTCATCTTGGAAGTGCATGTAGAGGGCTAAGGAGCTAACCCCCAGCAGAGTGAATAGAACTGAAAATAAATGATTTGAGATGAAACTGAAATGAAGAAATGTTGTGCAACTTCCTTCACCAGTGCACTGCAGCTTTTGCCTGAAAATTGAAAGAATGCCACTATTGTTCCTCTCTATAAAAGGAAATATACCAAAACTGAATGTAAAAACTCCAGGATTAGTTTGTTATGCACAGAAAGCATCTGACACAACACTGATTGAAAGGTATGAAAAGTGACAATGAACAAAAATTCAGAAGTACAGTGTGGTTTTATGCAAGGGAGAGGTGTACAGACCAGATGTTTACTTTTCAGCAGGTCACTGAGAAATGTATGATTGGCAGAAAGAAAGCTTACTGTATGTTAACTGGATTAAGCACATGAGAAACTGAACAGGCTTGAATTATCAAATGTCTTACCTGAATATGAGTTGCATCATCAAGCAGATAATGCTGTGTTATTGACTGAGAACCTGAATGATTTGCCACAAACATTAGATATACTGTGTAATGCAACAAGCCATGAACATGCAAATTAATGTATCAAAACCCAAAGCAGTTGTGATAGGGAAAATGGAGCAAAACATTTCAAGTTGTACACACATGGCAAAAATCTAGATCAAATAAATGATTGTGTGTAATTTGATAGAATGTTTATTGAAGATGGGAAATCGGTGGAGATATTCAAGACATGCAAATGCTGGTAGAAAGGCAATAGATGACATACAGTCTCTTATAAGGAAAGAATGTTGAAAAAAACTAAAATGGCTCTGAATAAGTGTGTCGTTCTGCCATTGAGGGTTGGATATGTGAAGAGAACATACAAGTAAGCTGAATGCAGTGGGAACAGGGTGCTTAAGGTGCATGGGGTGAAACAAGAAGATAATTGATTGAATACAAAATGAGTGACCAATATGAAAAAAGTATGTTGAGCTGGTTTTGTCAGAGAGAATGAATGAGGATCAAACTGCAAGACAAACTTACAAGGGTGAATAAATCAAGAAGAAGGGGAAGACCAATAAACAGATAGTTGGATGGAATTAATGAGATCTTGAGAAAGAGAAAGGCAAGAAATTTAAAGAACAGAAGAAAATGTGTGAAAAGGTCTATGGACAAGGTAGAAGCAAGAAAGGTTTATAAAGACAGAAAGGTCTGGAGAAATACAGTGAAGGGTATTAGAATAAACTAGATCCAGCTGTATTTCCTTCCCCCCCCCCTTTTCTTAATTTCTTTGGCTTCATAATTTTCACTCTCTTTCTGCATTTTGCACAACACTGCTTATCCCAAAAGGAAAAAGAGTAACAGGTATGCATGTATGTAATTTATATTCCTCTCCTTAGCTCTTCAACAGGTCACAGCCCCTGGTGGACCTTATGGACACTTGGTAGCTAAGAGAGCCAAGCCAAGTTAGATAGAATACTGTCAGAAAATACCAGAACTGTAAGATAGACTGAAAAGTAGAAAAATATCAAGAAGAAGAAATTGTTCTGCCTTGTTACCAAGAATTCTGCATGGTTGTGCCCATGTAATTTCAGGATTCAGGTTGAAATCAAGAGTACCCTTATCCTCCTATTCTACCTTAGGAACATCAAAAAAACACTGCTACTTGTCAACTAGTCATGGATGCCCATCTAGGACCAACAGAAACTATGCACAGTATTTCATCACTTTGGGCATTCGTATAAAACTATAGTAATACAGGCAGTCCTTGAGTTACGACCATTCATTCAGCAACTGTTCAAAGTTACGACAGCACTGAACAAATGGACTTAACGGGCCCCTGAAATTCTGACCGTTGCAGCAACCCTGCAGTCACATGAACAAAATTCAGGCACTTGGCAACCAGTCGCACTTATGACTGGTTGTAGTCACGTGATTGCCATTTGCGACCTTCCCTGCAGGTTTCCCACAAGCAAAGTCTATGGGGAAGTGGGCACAGATGGTTGCAAGTCGCTTCAGTAAGACCCCGCCCTTCTTCACTCGCATGCATCATGCCCTCCTTACCCTTTTACTCACATGCATCCCACATGCTCCTTCCCTGGCCTCCCTGCGCTCAGACACATCCCATACCCTCTTTCCCCGGCCTCCCTGTGCTCATGCACATGCCCCACACTCTTAACAGGTTACTGCCCAAACATTTAACTCTTACAATTTCAAACTGTGTAAGTATAAAGATGTTAGGTGTTTCAAGTTTCATTCTAATATATTATCTCAAAATTCAATGTTAAGAGCAGCTGAACCACTCAATATTATAAGTTATCTTTGGGTATCTATAAAACATTTGGGAGTAAGCCAGTATCACTTCTTACATTAAGCTGAACTCCTGGTTCACTGAGAAGAGAGTTCCCTCTGTAAAGTCTTTGGGCGAATTGACTTGAGGTTCATACAGCAAAACCTGACGTTTCAACTTTGGAAATGCTACAAGAGACTGTAGAGAAGGAGAGAGAGAAAGAGGCCATGAAAATCAGATCTCAGACCAAATTTAGAGAAACTCATGCTACTTTCTCATGCCTTCATTAACAAAATTCTTTTAATTTAACAACTGGAGAGCTAGTAATTTTAATTACCTTAATTAGATATTAAAGAAAAGCCTTACGTATTACATTTGAACATTCTCAAAAGTTAACTTTGAAAAGATAACCTGTTATTGTCACGCCATTTTAGACTACTTATCAAAGTATAAACATAAAAAATGTATATATTAACAAAACATATAAACAGAACTGCTTGTAATATATTTCAAAAAGTTGTAACTGATATAAAAACAGGATAAAATAAGGATTGAAAAACGTAGAGAAACTGAAATTGAAAAGATTGGTAAATCTGTATGAATGGTAAGTATGTTATAATTTGATCTCTAATTTAATTCTTGCAGTGAATTGGAGAAATATTATTTATTCATATATAAATTAAGGACACTTATGGACACTATTTTGTGACAGATGCATTTATCTAGGCTTTGAGAAAATCATTCTGAAAGGCTTCTCTGAACTGAACGCAGAATCAATGCAGTACAGGCAAACAAAACGGCTTCTTAAAGAAAGAATGCAAAGAAATGATAAATAAGACAGAACACATATGTTTTGTGTATTCAGAAGATACCATTTCAATTCCTGGTTCTTCTAGTGAAAAAAAATAGTGAGGAAATATATGGAAAACTACTGGCCATTATGCTGATATTGATGAAGACGCAAATACTTTAAAAGCATCTTTTGTAGGAAGTTCCAAATAGTTATCAGCATGTTAATATACTTTAAGAAGAAGACTGGAATGTAAGCTACTCACGCAGTCTTTTAATGACATGACACTAGATTAAGTTTTGCATTATTTTGCACTTCATATTATCTAGTGCAATAAATCCATGGGATACAGCACCCGTAGTATTCAGGGTGGTTGTTTTTTTTTAAAGGAAGTTTCTACATAAGCAACCAGAAAGTAACAACACAGAAATGATAATAAATTAGTAAAGTATGGCCTGAGAGCCAGTTTGGTGTAGTGGTTAAGGCACCAGGCTAGAATCCGGGAGATCACGAGTTCTAGTCCTGCCTTAGGCATGAAGACAGCTGGGCGACCTTGGGCCAGTCCCTCCCTCTCAGCCCCGGGAAGGAGGCAAGGGCAAACCGCTTCTGAAAATGTTGCTAAGAAAAGCTGACTTTTCCAAGCAGTAGCCAGGAGTCAACACTGACTTGAAGGCACAAACAAACTAGATGACACTACTGTTAGATGGACTCATGACTGACTGAATAATTGCATGCCAGGAGTGCTTGTTAAGGGCTTGACTTCAGCTTGGAGGGGAGTACTGAGCAGAACACTAAGAGCTCTGTTCTGGGCCCTGCGCTACCCAACAGTTTTGTAGATAATACAAAGCTGGGGGGCAGGGCTAAGTTTCAAAAAGATCTAGCTAAGGTTGCGCAATGGACTTAAATGAATAGGACGGAATTTAACAGGCAGAAATGTAAAGTTCTGCATTTAGGTAGAAAAATGAAAGGCACGTGTATAAGATGAGGGAGATCTGGTTTGGTAGCACCACTTGTGAAAAGGACCTAAGTGTTCTTAAAGTTTGCAAGTTAAACATGAGTGCATTAATTGGATCATAGAGTCCAGATCATAGGAAGTAATATTTATTCTCTGGTCAGATCCCATTTAGAGTAAGGTGGCCAGTTCCGAGCACTGGAGTTTGAATCACACAGTGACAAACTGAAGCAAGAAAAATGGTAGCTTCTTTAAAAAAAAATGTAAATTATAAACTGAGTGAAGAATGCAATAATTTCTGTAAACAGATAATGAGCTTCCCATCTTTCCTTCCTACGAGTCATATTTCAAAGATAACTAGATTTTATTTAAAAAGCAGAAAAGGTTAAAAACAATGCTTTGTTACAAAAGTTGCTGCCCACATTTCATATGCATGTTCCGATAATGCTAGTATAAAAAGTTTAAAGAGCTGAAGACATACCCACAAAGTTCTCCTAAGCTCAGCGTCTGGAAGTTCTGTTGCTAGCTTAAGGTTTTCAAAGCTAATTTTTTCTCGGGGTCTTTGATTCCATGCAAAAAGCACAGCCAACTGAAACGTCGTTACCTCCAAGTCATACTGACCAACCTCATTCTTGAAAGTTATCTGTTAATAAGACGAAAAATTACCGACTAAGCTTAAGCGCAATCTTACTTTCAGTGTACCAAAACCAAATAGAAATACAAAACGGAAGCGAGTGACGCAGGTATGCTTACAATGCCATTGGACATTAAATGATGCCAGTGAAGCTTCCTGCCACTGTGGTTCTTTTTGTAGAACTCTTCGACCTCGGGGATGAGGTCTTCTAATTCCGTAGGCAGTGACACAAAAACTTTTTCAGAACTTCTGGACCAGGCCCCAGCGTTTAAAATTTTAATATTCACAGAATCAGCTGTACACAAAACAAAACAGAAAGCCCATCCAAGTTACACTGAAGCTATCAACCAGTATATGAATCATAAGTAGAGAACAGTCTGCGATGGAGTCAAAGAAACTGACTGCATAATTTTGTATTATAATTATCCAATTTGGATTTGTTAATGATGACAAAGCAGGATAAACAAGTATAAATAATCCTGGCTCTCTATAACACTGATAAGTTTTAAAAAGTAACAAGAATAAAAGTACCTGGAAGGGCCAGTTTATTATTTTTGTGCATTTCCTTGAAGGCCTGGTTAAGATCTTCAGATACCTTAATATCTTGAAACATCCTTGCCAATTTATTTACATAATCTGCTGGCATACCTACTTCCTGCACAGAGAGAGCATTGAAGTAATAACTATATAATTTAAATACAATAAAAACTAACTAGTGATCTTCCTTAGTAACTATAAGGGCTATGCAAAATCATTTCAAGGACAGTTTGCAAAGCAAGTAAAGTACCCCTTCAAACTTGCCTCTTGAAGCATCAAAGTGCCCCTCTGAGTGGTTCTGTACAGCTCTAAGTAGCTATTACAACTAGCAATATCAACATACTAACATATCATGGACTGGACAGCACAATACTGCAGGAAGGGAGAGAAAAACAATTCACTTCCCACATCAAATGTACCCATCTGGAAAAGAAACTATTTAGTACTTCACTTACATTTTTGTGTGGGGAGAAGCAACAGGGGCTAGATTCAAACTACAGACCATCAACTAGCTATCTTGTGTATATAAATCTTTGTTAAACCATCATTAGGACTTTAACATAAAAAATTATAAATTCAATTCTTATTTAGAAAATTTTAAATAAACTATTTGCTAATTAACGTAAAGAGTAGGCCATAGATAATTTAAGATTCAATAATTCACATTATGTGTGATTTTTAATTAAAAACTATCTTTTCTAAATAAGAGAGTAGAAAACAGGAGTGATAAACTTACTCGCAGCCATTCAACCATGTTCTCTTCTATTTCGCTGTCTGCTGATATATCCAATATAAGACGCCTTGTTAAATGAGCTTTGTGGTATCTCATAAAAACATCTTTGTTCTGTACATACTTGAGTACCAATAGCTGTTTTTAAAAAGCATTAGACATGTTTTGGTGATTGCTATTAATATTTACTCCTATTGCAGAACAGCACCTCCAGAGTACATTTTGTCAGGAATAGTTCTATTTTCTTAACCCCTACCCTTCAAAAAATCCTACATATATCAACATATTCCATGGCCATGGAACAAAAAATATTATCACATCATTTACACTGAAACATCCATATTACTGCCTTTTGATCACATATTTTATATAGCAAAATATACATATATTTATGTACAATATCCACTGCTTAAATGCTCTAATATGAACAGTTTCAAAATGAAACAGTTGCCCATCCTTTCCCCTAATAAGGACTGTGATTACTAATCAGTGATAGGAAATGTTCTGACGTGCAAATCAGTTTAACATACTGACACTCCACTAGTTTTACAGTACCAATCTGCTATTAGGATCAGTCAGTCACCTTTAATTAGAAATTATTTGATTTCAAAATGATTCAAATATAACAAACATTATCACAGTTTAGAAAAAGCAGAGTTTAAAATAAAATCTGTTGAGCTGGTTTCTCTCAAAAAGCAATTCTGAAGGAAGTAAGATGTTTGACATGTCTTCCCTGGCCACTTCAGCACCTACTACTAAAGCTTCTCCCCAGTCTGGAGAGCACAATATCCTAAGATAAAATTTAATCTTAGATATAACAGGCTTCCTCTCTCTCCTTTTTTGGTGCACCCAGGAAGGAACAGAATGTTAAAGAAATCAAGAACAGGAAAATATTACTTCTTTAGAATTTTTTTTTAAACTAAATCTTGGCAACAACTGTCCAGGAAAGGTTTCATTTAAATTCAGTGAAGAATATAAAAATAAAGCTACAATCTTAAACTTACTTCTTAGGAGAATATCACCACACTCAGTAGAACATTTGAGTGCTCGTGTACAGGACTGCACTATTAATGATGTGTAGCCATTAACTATATTATTGGTGGCACCTTGCCCCCATCAGCAACTATCTTAAAGACTAAATCAGTATGTCACTGCATTCTAACCGTGACTCCCACTGCTATTAATTCAAATTTAGATGAACACAGCGATGTTCTGATGGTTTTGAGATAAGGGCAGAAAGACACTGAAGAGAAATTATCCAATCCTCACATTTATTTCTCTCAAAAGGCACTGGGCTACAAAACCAGGAGACTGTGACTTCTAGTCCCGCCTTAGGCATGAAAGCCGGCTGGGTGACTTTGGACCAGTCACTCTCTCTCAGCCCAACTCACCTCAGAGGGTTGCTGTTGTGGGGAAAATAGAGGAGTATTAGGTATGTTCACCACCTCATTTATAAAAATAATAAAGGCGGGATAAAAAAAACTAGAAACAGCAAAAGAACATACCACTTCTTTAAGTTTTGCTTCAATTTCTTCAGAGGTTAATTTTTTGCTTAGTGGTGTTTTTCTTAATAACATATCACAATAATTTGCAAGTAGCTCTGGGCACTTGGACTCTGGTTGTGTTTTCAACCCAACACTAGATAAAAAAGAAAAATAGTAGCCAAAAAGTTATGCAGAACCACCACCTTAGGTTTCATGCCATTATATAAACTCATACTTTTAGGAATAAATAAGGGGGAAATCCCTTAAGTAAAAACAACCAACATTTTACACATTTCTTCTATTTACTTCTTTTATTTCAAAGGAACTATATGGCTTTATAGATGTAACTAAAAAAATATAAAAGAAAATATACATGGAAAACTACAGAAAAGCAGTGCAGCATGCACGAGAAATGAAAACTTAAATACTGTAAGACTCTAAAAGAATTGTCAAGACATCTTCTAAACTATCGCCAATTTAATCTGCTTTAAAATCACAACCATGGTTTTATGCGATTAAGCAAAAACATCTAGAAACATTTCTTTTTGAAAATATAAGCATAAATAAATGAGTATTCTACAATTTAACAGTCATGTACCTTAGACAGGATCGCACCTGTGCGTCCTCTCTTGGTCCATTGCCCCTGGCACTCCCCGTGGTTTACAGAGGAGTTAAGGGTGCTGAAAAGGGCCAAGAGAGATGTCCAGAGCGCTGCTGGTGGAAAACAAAGGACGAGTCTGACCAAACACAGGTTAGAGCCGCTATTAAGGTCTACCTCATGGCAGTAAGGGTGATGAAACGCTATTATTTCTCTGCTCTTATTGCATCCGCAGAGTGTCGCCCAGCGGCCCTGTTCAGTCACCCGGTCCCTTCAGGGTAAGGAGGTTTCGGAGGACCATCTACAGGGTCGCACAGAGGAATTTGGTGAAGACTTGACAGATCAAATTGGATCCATTCCCAGTTGGCGGCTAAGCATGACGCAGGTCCGGTGGAGATGCCCAGGGAGCGTACTTACTTGGTTACCTGGGGATGATTTGATCCTGCTGGACCTAAGGAAGTGGACAGGGTCCTCGGGGCTACTACTGCAGCTACCTGTGCATTAGACCCTTGTCCCTCCTGGCAGGTTAAAGCCACCAGGGAGATGACATTGGGGTGGGTACTAGCAGTGGTTAATTCATCCTTGCAGGAGGGGGTGTTCCTGATGCCTTTTAAAGAGGCTCTGGTCCACCCCCTCCCCAAGAAGCCATTGCTAGATCCCATTCCTTTGGACAACTTTTGTCCAGTTTCCCACCTTCCCTTTTTAGGAAAGTTGTGGAAAAGGTGGTCACACAACAGCTTCAGAGGATCCTGGAGGAAAGGGATTATCTGGACCCCTTTCAGTCAGGTTTCAGGCCTGGTTATGGGACAGAAACAACACTGGTTGCACTTTTAGATGATCTCTGGTGAGAGCAAGATGGGGGTAGTATGTCCATCCTTGCTCTTCTTGACTATGTCATCCTTTTGGGTCAGTTGTGGGAGTTGGGACTGGGAGGGAGAGTTTTGTGGTAGTTCAGCTCTTTCCTCCAAGGCCGATGTCAATCAGTGGTGAAAGGGAACGAGAGGTCCAACCCGCGGCTCCTACTTTGTGGAGTGCCTCAGGGTTTGGTGCTCTCACTGTTCCTATTTAACATCTACATGAAACTGTTGGGTGAGATCATCCAGCACCATGGAATGAGGTATCATTAGTATGCTGACGATACTCAACTATATATCTCCATCCCAAGTGACCTAAGTGATGCTGTGGTTACCCTTTCACGGTGCCTGGAGGCTGTAGGGGCCTGGATGGGGGACAACAGGTTTCAACTAAACCCTGTTAAGATAGAGTGGCTATGGGTACAGGGAGCCTCAAGATCTAGGAGCTTATCATCCTTGGTTCTGGATGGGGTTGCACTACCCCAGACAGACCCAGTGCATAATCTGGGGGTCCTCCTAGACTCATAACTCCTGTTCAAAGAGCAGGTAGCAGTCGTTGCTAGGAGAGCCTTTGCACAACTTCGTGTTATGCGTCAGTTACACCCTTTCCTGGATCAGGAGGCCCTCCACGCAGTCATTCATGCCCTGGTCATCTCCTGTTTGGATTACTGCAATGCATTCTACATGGGGCTACCCTTGAAGAGTATTCGGAAGCTCAGCTGGCACAAAATACAGTGGCGCAAACAGTTTTGAACACCCCTAGGGTGACACATATAACACTTCTGTTATGCGAGCTGCATTAGTTGCTGGTTTGCTTCTGGGTCCAATTCAAGGTGTTGGTTAATACCTTTAAAGCCCTTCACGGCACAGGACCAGGTTATCTGAGGAGCCATCTTGCCCCCGTTATATCAGCCAACCCCACTTGGTTCAGCAGAAGGGGCATGTTGCAGACCCCACCAGTCAAGGTACTTCAGCTGGCGGGGTCTAGGAAAAGGGCCTTTTCTGCCATGGTCCCCGCCCTTTGGAACAGCTTACCACCTGAGGTGTGGTCTGCCCCCACTCTCCTGGCCTTCCAGAAAAGTGTGAAAACTTGCCTATGTCAGATGGTCTGGGGGCCTGATGGAGACTCACGTTGGAATTGGCTTGTGGGATAATCGATACTGCTCCCCCCATCATCTTGAATTGAATACAGTCTTTTTATACAGAATTGTCATTAATTAATTTTAATATGGATATTTATATTTTCATTGTTTTTTACTGTTTTGGATTTTCATTGTGAGCCACCTAGAGTCAC